ACAAAAAAGTTTAAAGCCCCCCCCCCCCCCCCCCCCAGTTCAGGCAAGTCTTTACTATACACCATTTATAAAGGAGGCTATAACAAGAGGCTGTCCCCTTGGCAAGCAGTCTGGCCAGACCAAGCGTATATAAGTCTGCAAAATAGTTTTGTAGCCAGGTTAAGCCAAGTATATGGGCCAGGGAACATCTATTAGCCTCTACTATAAGAAACGTATTTAAAACATCACTGAAATTAAAAAAAAAAAAAAAAAAAAAATCAGAGTCTGTGGGCAGCCCTACAAGCTTTGCTCCTCACCCGGGGCAAAGTTTGGATTAAAGTCAATTGACATTTCACATTTCACTTGAACACAACCGGTGCTTACAAATGAAGTGTGTAGGAAAAGCCTTTGCTTAATTACATGGACTCATTCAACTTAATTCATGTACAGTGCTGCTTCAGATCTATATGTGTGCAAATTCATGGACATCCAGAGCATTTCACTCACTTAAAGAAGGTAGCTTGGAGGTAGGTCTGACTCTATCAGTGTATAAGGTGCACAGACTATTTATTCTGAGTCTATTAGACACCTGTTATTAGCACTGCAAACGGTATGGTATCTGTGCAAGCCTACAGCTCAAGGCTGAAATCCAGTTTTTTCCAGAAACTAATGAACACAAAAGTATCCATGAAGCTCTGCAAATTAGGAGATGAAAAGAGAAAAGGAGTTCAGATACGGCTGAATAAAAAAAAAAAAAAAAAAAAAAAATTCAGGAGAAATGAAAAAGTGTTTCTGGCCTCATGACAGATGACTGGGACAACTACCGTCAATTGACAGGAAGGGGAATCACCAGGAGCCTTGTGGTCCCATGGACCAGACAGGCAGTGAACTGGGCAGAAACTTTGACATTCCCTCCTTCACCACAGAGCCAAGGACGTGAATAAGCAGCTCACAAGGAGCTCAAAATAGCTCAGCCTCCATAGTGGATGTGGGTAAAAGGCAAGGAAGGAAAGAGCTTGGGTGTTCTGTTCCACCGGTCCTCAAGGAAGTAATCTGTCATTGTCTTTCGCAAAAGAAAATTATTTTCACCATAGCTTTTTAGGAAAGCAGGCGGTGAAGCTATTGTTGGTGTTTTCTTATCAAAGTCAGTTCCACTTTAAAAATAAATAAAAGCCTCCAGAGAAATTCAGATCTTACTGCAAAAGGTTATTTTCTCTTCGGAATCAGTTAGATGGGACATTTTAAGCTTGATCTACTTCAGCATCAGTTGCTAACTTAGGGCATACATAATATTTGATGTGCTTTTAACATCTCTGACCTCAGGTCAGATAAGAACACGAACAATTTTGAAAGAGACCTAGGGAAATCATAAGAAGTTTTACCTGTAAAGGAGGGAACCAAAAAAACCACTTCCCCAATGCTGAAAGCCAGAAATTACAACTCATAGGATTACTACATGTTTTTGCTTAAATACCTTCCCTTCTGAGGCATCTCTTCCAAATTCTAATCCTCACACTGGAACACATATAGAAAATGCCTGTGAGCACAAACGGAACATTCATCACAGCTTGAGAGAGAGACAGTGTTCTCACCTTCAGTGTTTCATTAAATTCTGGATTGGTGCTGTTACTTTTAATTTTGGTCTTGCGTTTACTTTGGCGGGACTTATCAGGCAGAAGGTATGCTTTGACATATCTGCAGATCAAGTAGTAAATTATTAGCAAGGAAAAAGGACAGTTTGAGCAAGGACCTGATATTGCTGCATCAGCAACACATATGAGGAAATTACTTTTTGCAGTCTAAACAACGTATACACATAACAGAGAATATGTGAAGCATGGAGAGGTGTGGTTTTTATCTACAAACACAGCAGCGTTAGTCTGATAGGATCAGAGTAACAAAAAGCAGAGCTAAATTAATTTACTCATTGTCAGAAATGCAGAAAGCTTTCGCTTTTGTAGTATATGATTATTGACTGGTTACTTACATCAATGCACACACTGAAAATACAAGAGAATGAAAATCTTTATACCTTACATGTGATAGGATTACACATGATTAGAGACACCAATTACCACTTCCTGAGAAGAGAGTTTACATATTATATAAAAACTATAATAAGAAGCTCAGAAAACATTGTCCTTACAAAGTAAATGTATAGATGCGTGAACCCAAAGCTCTCTCTATCCCTCCCTCCCTCCCTCCAGAACATCACTCCTCTCATATACTTCAGTTTTGATTCTAGAAGTAAGAAATCAATTCAGCCTCCCTACTCCTTTGTATTTTCTGCCCTTTTACTACCAAACAGGTTGATAATTTATGTAATCTTATTGTTTCTCCAGAACAGGCATACGTTGCCTTAGTAAATATATTGAAAATGCATTTCCTACAGGGAATCCAAAATCAACCATCATCAGAATGCTGCCTTGTAGCCACTGGATCCTATGCGTTCTCAGGCTCACATCACAACCCCAGGCTACGTCACTGACTACAGCACATGATAAGGTGGAGGACACCCCTAGCAGAGCCTAAAGGGAAATTATTCTGTGCTTACGGATCGGTCCTTTGCTTCTTCTCATCTGCAACAGCCAGATTTCTGCAACTTTTCACCAGGATGTTGAGGGCACCTGTTTTGTAGCTGTAGTTGATGTTGAGAAGGATTTCACCACTGACCTTCACGTTGCCATAGTCACCAGTTTCACTATATACACTCAGCATGCTGTTAATGCTAGTCTGGAGGGGGAGAGAAAAAGGACTTAGAGGTTTAAACAAATTACTCTTTTCCAGAATCTGCTTTTTTTATTTTTTTCATACAGCTACAGCCTTGCAATATTGTCACACTTGATAGGACTTTTTATGAAAACAGATATATCATAGAACAGAAATCCCACCATTTGATGTAAAAGGGAATAAGAAGTATAATTAATAAGAGCTCAAATGTCTAGACAGTCAATGTTTTTCCACACAGGACTCAAACCTATTTATAAACATGACTAAATCTAAATTATCACCATTTAATTCATGCATGAACTGAAAAGCAGACAGGCTACATAAATTGTAAGCTCACATAAGTTCCAAGCAGAAAAAAAATCACCTCTCTGGCTCATCTGTCCACCTAATTTTTACTGTCTCATAAGACAACTGCTGACAGAACCATTAGAAAAAGTTATAAGCATGCTTCCTATAATGGAAGTATAAATCTATGTTTGTTTAAAGTGAAACTCACCTCTCATTAGCAATTCTAAAAGAATGAGCAAAATTCACTACCCACTATTTCTCCAATTTTCCTAAATCCAGAAGTTTAGCAGTAATCCACAAAATTTTCCACTGCAACATAATATATCACCCTTCAATCTCCTTTTTTCATTCATACCATGCAGAGTATTGCTATGGGGATTTCCTCTTTCAAAAGATTCCAATTAGGAAAGAACTAAATGTTTTCAAAGAAAACCAGAGCAATATGTACACTGTCAGAATCAGAAACATTCAAGAAATCTGGTGCATGTTTTCTTTTGAGTCATTGAGCAAGATGTCTCAAAAACATATATAACCATATATAACTAGTAAATCCTACTACATAGGGACCTTGCAAGACACACAGGTACTGTCTTCAACAAAGAGGGAGAAATGAGAGAGAAACCTGCAAAGTAAGCTAAGCAGAGGAACTCACAGTAAGACACACAGGTACTGTCTTCAACAAAGAGGAAGAAATGAGAGAGAAACCTGAAAAGTAAGCTAAGCAGAGGATTCAGAAGAACTCACAGTGTCACCATCTTTTTCTGGCACATTTAAATACGTCCATTTTCTGTCAGAGCCTTCTGGGGAGTTCTTTAAAGAAGGCAGTGCAAAAGATCAAGAGAAAAGAGCATTAGATAGCTGCAATAAGAAAGAATAAGTACAGTGATAAATCTTTACCTATATAAACAGATAAAGGAAGTTTGCATTGCAAAGCCTTAGTGAGAAAGAAAGAAAAAGGTATCAACAAATCAGAGAAACGCTACAAGTGTTTTCCGTTTACTTTGGGTATTGAAGGACTTGTGGCTCAAGGTAATTAAAAAGTATCTGTCTTATCAAAATAAAAAAACTACACTTTAGAACACAACTCAACAGATTCAGATTTGTATTGGACTATATTTGGATTTGTCCTCATTTATATCTGCATGAAGTCAGTTCTCACTTAAGCTAGTTAAAAGATAAGCATTCATATATTTGCCGGATTCGCAATTTTGTAAGAAATTTCATTTTCTGTGTGGAGTTTGTAAGAATAGATAAAACCACACGCAAATATTTAAACATGTCACTGTGGGAAAAAAACACAGTAATAGAATATTGGAGGAAACATTTTCCCCTCTCTGCTTGCCAGAGCAGTATTTGGAAATCTCACAATAACCTCAAGGGAAACTACATCTTGATCTACCTCCTCCTCTATCAGCTGCAGGGAAGAAAGAAGAGCATCAAGGGAAGAGCCACACAAAAAGAATCAGTCTGTGGCAAAACTCAACTCTGGGAGCCCTGCAGCAAAGAAAACTGGAGGGATAAGCAGGCCTGTGTCAATATGGTAAACAAGAAGAGACATAAAAAACCAGAATGAGATATCATTATCCATAAAGTTAATTTTATACATCATAAATATTTAAACATGTCACTGTGGGAAAAAACACAGTAATAGAATATTGCTTGCCAGAGCAGTATTTGGAAATCTCACAATAACCTCAAGGGAAACTACATCTTGATCTACCTCCTCCTCTATCAGCTGCAGGGAAGAAGGAAGAGCATCAAGGGAAGAGCCACACAAAAAGAATCAGTCTGTGGCAAAACTCAACTCTGGGAGCCCTGCAGCAAATAAAACTGGAGGGATAAGCAGGCCTGTGTCAATATGGTAAACAAGAAGAGACATAAAAAACCAGAATGAGATATCATTATCCATAAAGTTAATTTTATACATCATGTGGGAATAATAAACAGCAAAAAAGGTGGCGGTTTGGTATTTATATATTTTTTTACCATAAAGTTAATTTTATACATCATGTGGGAATAATAAACAGCAAAAAAGGTGGTGGTTTGGTATTTCTTTTTTTTTTTTTTATTTCTGCTGGCCTTCTGTATTCTTCATTTAAAAAGAAAAGAAAAATGCTTGTCCTTTTATTCCGTTGTACAGTTAACTGAAATTCCACGAACAGGACTTGTTAAAATTACTGAAGAATTAACAACACACACCGACAAACGTGCCGTATTTTCTCCTATTCCTAACATGCCTCTAGCTGAATTCCAGCCTTTACCATTTATGCATTTCCATCTCTATCATGCATGAAAATAAGTATCCTTGGACACTGTTAGTGAACTTAACAGTCGCAGTATTTTCTACAAAATGCCTAAATTACTTTCCTGTTACAGGGAAGTAACAATTTGTGTGCCCACTTCAGAAAACAAATAAGGTTATACCACCATGAAGAGATGGACAAGTTTTTCTCTATTGAATCTTTCGTTAAGTGGGCAGCAAGGGATAAATGACTGGGGGAGGGATGGAGGGAACCAACATAAAATCCTAACAGATAACCTTTAATATAACCCTAAATAGATGACCTCTGACCACAGAATTTATGCAAACACAATTTCTAAATTGCTTACAAACCACAAACAAGATAATACAAATTTAGTAGGAGTATTTGATATACTTGACTTTTGTCCCCACAGACTCTGTTCGGTGGCATTTCCATTGGACGTCACGTATGCTAAATGTGATGTCCTTAAGAAATCTACTCATTTTCTAGTTTTCTAAGTAGTACACAACCACACATATGGAAGATGCAGAGCCTCATTTCAGCACCTCACTAAGAATTATATTTGTTTTGCATCATATCTTATCACTGTAGTAAGGCACTGGAACAATTTACTCTTACTGATGTGATGCATCTTGACACAACCACATGAATGTGTTTAGGAGAGGAATCGGTGAAGGATGCAGGGAAAAATAAATACATAGTTCATGTATTAGCTTCAGGAAAACTCAAAGAAAAATACCCTAATGCTGAGATACAGTTCCTGTTCAATGTCATTATCCCTTTCCATTTTTGCTCACTCATGTTGTAACATGAGTGGATATCAAATATCTTTTATCCTTTGAGGTATCTCTTCCTCTACCTCAAATGCTCATTGTCAGAGTACCCATACTGTAAATTCTCATATTTGAAAAAAGAAAGGGGGGGAAAAATAGAAAAATCATGCAGTTAGAGCCTACTGTTCATTAACAACATTATTCCCATGTGACTTAATAGTAGACAGTCATTTGACAGATAAGTACACACAAAAAAATCTGTACAGTGCAGAAAGCTCAAAGGCTTATAACAAGCAGAGTAAAGGTAAAAATAAGAGAGAGGGGGAATGCTAATAACTAGTAACACACACTTAAGGGGAATGAAAAAAAACCTGTAAAATTAACCTGCTCTTGCAGGGAGCAGAAGCTTGCCATTTGCAACTTTGCCATTAGCGTAGCATTGCAGTGACATTAAAAAACATGTCATGGCGAATACAGAGAAACAAGAGCACTGAGATGTGAGATTATCACAAACCTACAGCAGTGGAAAAGCTGTGCTCTGCTTAAGAAAAAGGTCAAAGGGAAATCTATAGGAAAGGGCAAAACCCGATGCCCAGACAGAATGCTGTCTGCAGTACACAAGAGGGAAGGCTCTCTGAATGCAGTTTGTCAGTTAATGGTCTAAACAGAGAAAGCACTTAAGCACCTGCAATCTTCATATCAATATTCAGAGGAAATAAAAATAATTCTGTCTGTAAAATCCATGGAACCAGCAAACATTGGAGACAATGAGTCACAGTCAGCCTCAGGTAACTGGGTCTAATTAGACCAGCGTCAACAGACTACGCTTGCTCAAGTCTGATTTGGTGTGAAGTGCTGCACGTTTCTGTTCTGTCTGTTTCTGTGAATTACACAAATTAGAAGGGAAAAGGATCTGGACATGGCCAGATCTAAGATATCAAAATGCTCTGATTTTGTCAGCCTTTTCTCCTTCTCAGAGATGCCAAGCTTGGATTCAGTCAACTCCATCTCTTTGGGATCAAGAACTTAAATGACACTCCTTGGGCTCTGCTTGCATGGGGACTAATGGGGATGCAGTCTAGAAAGGACAGTTCATTGGTAACTGTCAGGGTAACTGCAACTTTCCTGAAGATACTATCTAGTTGCCCACATCCTAAGTGTCAGATCCCAAAAATGAGGTACACAGCAGGCAGTCATAAACTAGACATGTTAAAAGCTACTTTTATCATCCATTTTCTTCCCCAGTCAATAACAGACTGCATAATAAGCTGCATAAGACTTGCTGTATCAATTTTGTTGCATCTCAAGCACCTGTTACAACCTGAAAATGCAGCTATCCTTTTAAAACCAATATTAAATTGCAGCAGTTAGAAACCACATGACTCAAACATCTGATTTACAGTGTATAGTTTGTGGGTATGACAAGAAACAAAAAGATATAAAAGAAAAATACCACAATTATTGCAGAAGGTAGAAAGTTGTCACCAATCAAAATCCCCAAGTATTTCCCTCCTCATGGTAAAGGGAAATGCTTTTCAGATGTGGGTGGCATAGAAATCACGTCATGAAAAGGGGGAGAAGCAGGGTTAGGGGGTGGACGATGATGCCAGGGAAGTGCAAACACACATATGAGTATCTGTGTCCCAAGAACCTGATCAATCAGAAAGTGGTTTGAGATGTAAGATCCCACCACAGTCTTGTTCTGTTCACTTCAAGAAAATTGGGATTAAGTGCTCCTCTGCAAAGCTGAGCAGTCATTATGGTTTGCCTTCTCCACGTGTCAGCTTGGTGGTAACCTGAGCATGTGAGGAAATCTGCTGATGAGTATGCAAAATGGTTTTCTCTTTCCACGCACTGCAGAGAACTGCATTTTAGCTTTAAACAGCATTAAAAATGTAGAAAAGCTATCTAAATGTTAAAGGATGTTTCTCAAGTGCAGGATGAAAGATGGTCTGCTGCTAAGTGGTATGAAGTTAAACTTCTTTTTGGAGGAGCAATGGTCTTTTGTGGAAGAAAAAAGCATGTGTTTTCTACTCAAGATCTTACTGTTGATAATCCACTTGCCAAATGTCCGTGTTTCCTTGAATAACGAGAGGCCACTATGTCATCAATATCTTCTGTTTCATCCAGATAATCCTAAATGACAAACAGGCATTTTAGTTGTGCTCTGCTCTGTATTTGGTCAGCCTCTGTTGCTTGGGTATTTTTTTTTTTAATATTTCCTGCTTTAGGAAGACTGTGCAGGATACATTCAAAATTCTAATCTCTAGAGGAATTTTGATTTATATTTTCCACATCTTTGTGCAGACACACGGCACAAGGGGAAAAGATGCTGTTAGGTTTTCAGGGTTCAGTTGCTTAAGAAGCGAAAAGCTTTGACACACACTTCATATCTTATTCTGTGCATTGCCAACAACTGTGCACAAAAACAAAACCCACTTACAATGCGATGTGAATTACCTTATTTTACTTACTATTATTTGCATTCAGGAATTCAGGTTTGGAAATGGGGACATGGTGAGAATTTTTTGAATCTTAACAAAAGAAATGAGTGAATTATGGTCTGATACCAGTGGCCAGGGGATCTCTGATACTAGTTTATCTAAAGACATTTATAACCAGAAGCCATAAGATGATTGATTTCCTGGTTACAGCCCAGGTTTCATGGTTTTATGGGAACTTATTATTTTTTTTTTTTTCACAATCCAGCAACCCAGTTTTCCAATTATTATCCACAGTTATGTCAGGCACACTTTCACATGCACACAAATGGACAAACACACAATTTGCATTACACTTGCAGCCTTTCACACTGTCTTTGGTGGCAGGTGACAATTTCGTGAACACGATCATTAACACAGACCCATGATCTAACAGGCGGTGCTGAAAGCCCCAAGTTATTGTCAAACCACGTGGGAAGAAACTTGTTGTGACATCATACACACTGAATATATTTGAGGCCAAGTCCTAATAGGACTATTAACTTTTACTTAAAGTTACAGGCAAAAACCCCAATGGAGATCTATCATCCCATAAACTGTAACTTGAAAATTTCAAGCATTTCCTTAAACCTTATGGCAGGTATTTTGAAAGACTCTGCTTTTAGTTTTAACGAAAGTTAAGTGTTCAAATTCCTTGTATCTGCTTTGCAGCTATAAAAATCTCACACATGGTGACCTACCTTACTCTATTGCTTAGCCACTCTCACCCTCTTAAACTAAACAGAAAAGTACTGTATTCAAACTCAGGAGTCTCAAAGACTTCTATGCTAATCAGAAAAAACAGAGCAGAGAAGAAATGCTGCTGGAGAGTTGAACTGTCACAGTTTACATAAAGATCTGCAGAGCATTTATCATTAGCATGCATCAAACTAGCTGTTACATCTCTTCTTTGCTCCAGTGACTGAACTGAAATAAAATCAGATAAAAGCAATGCTAAATTTTCCATTGCTACTTTCCAATCATAACTGCATATTTAATATTGAGCAGAGGGAAATCAGGACAAGCAATTACTCTATTTGGGCCCAAAATTTAAATACTGAAGCAAAAATTCCTCTTAGCTTCATGTTCTTACAATGAGCCTCCTCTGCTGGTTTCTTTCTAATCTATTCAGGGCACTGCTACCACTCCACAGGAAAAACAAGTCATAGATACTTCAAGGAAAAAGCCTGTGGAGACTCAGGCACAGCAGAGCTAACCATTTCAGAGAGACAGAGAGCGAGCTGAATCCTTCAAAAGTAAAACCACAAAAACCCACCCTAAAATAAAACCAAAAAAAACCCCATCCCATCCTTCACTTCTACTTTCCTCATCAACTTCAGAATTCAGATGATGTACTCAAGTTTAAAGTTTAGCCCAAGAATACACAACTTAATTTCTTGCCCACGCAACAGGAAGAAGCAATTCTGGTAACACATTCAAAACTCATTCCTTTACACTGTTGTATACATACCCAGAGGACTTTAAAATAAACAATGCTACATTTTTATTGCTGAATAATTAAATACAGGACAAAAAAAATCCCAACCAGTAAAGGAACATTTTCAGACTGGATTGTTTCAAGTTTAGGCACTCAAGTATTAACAGTGCTTCACAAGAAGTCCTAACGAGTTATTTGACTACCAAATCAAAAACTAAAAAAAAACCAAAAACAGATCTATCATCCCATAAACTGTAACTTGAAAATTTCAAGCATTTCCTTAAACCTTATGGCAGGTATTTTGAAAGACTCTGCTTTTAGTTTTAACGAAAGTTAAGTGTTCAAATTCCTTGTATCTGCTTTGCAGCTATAAAAATCTCACACATGGTGACCTACCTATTGCTTAGTCACTCTCACCCTCTTAAACTAAACAGAAAAGTACTGTATTCAAACTCAGGAGTCTCAAAGACTTCTATGCTAATCAGAAAAAACAGAGCAGAGAAGAAATGCTGCTGGAGAGTTGAACTGTCACAGTTTACGTAAAGATCTGCAGAGCGTTTATCATTAGCATGCATCAAACTAGCTGTTACATCTCTTCTTTGCTCCAGTGACTGAACTGAAATAAAATCAGATAAAAGCAATGCTAAATTTTCCATTGCTACTTTCCAATCATAACTGCATATTTAATATTGAGCAGAGGGAAATCAGGACAAGCAATTACTCTATTTGGGCCCAAAATTTAAATACTGAAGCAAAAATTCCTCTTAGCTTCATGTTCTTACAATGAGCCTCCTCTGCTGGTTTCTTTCTAATCTATTCAGGGCACTGCTACCACTCCACAGGAAAAACAAGTCATAGATACTTCAAGGAAAAAGCCTGTGGAGACTCAGGCACAGCAGAGCTAACCATTTCAGAGAGACAGAGAGCGAGCTGAATCCTTCAAAAGTAAAACCACAAAAACCCACCCTAAAATAAAACCAAAAAAACCCCCATCCCATCCTTCACTTCTACTTTCCTCATCGACTTCAGAATTCAGATGATGTACTCAAGTTTAAAGTTTAGCCCAAGAATACACAACTTAATTTCTTGCCCACGCAACAGGAAGAAGCAATTCTGGTAACACATCCAAAAGTCATTCCTTTACACTGTTGTATACATACCCAGAGGACTTTAAAATAAACAATGCTACATTTTTATTGCTGAATAATTAAATACAGGACAAAAAAACCCCCAACCAGTAAAGGAACATTTTCAGACTGGAGTGTTTCAAGTTTAGGCACTCAAGTATTAACAGTGCTTCACAAGAAGTCCTAACGAGTTATTTGACTACCAAATCAAAAACTAAAAAAAAACCAAAAACAGTTAACATTTAATCTATGCTCTTAATTCATTTTGCACCACAATGATTATGTTTCTCAGGAGGTGCCACAAAACTGCAGCTACATAATTGGTTAGCGGAATTAACTTATTATAGTTAGAGCTAGTAGGACATTAATCTCATTGTCTCCAGTGGGGGTTATAAAACGCACATTATCCAACTGCTTCTAATAAAGCAGCTGAGCGTGTAATGAACGTTACTTGGCCAGGAATCCCACACACACCTCTCTAGATAAGGTGCTCACACTTGAACACAACACTAGATTTAACTGCTTCCCCACACTCCTTGGTAAACGTGTACTACAGTATGTGGGTTTCTAGGGTTTTCACTGTTGAGAGAAAGGTAAGTTAGAGAAGTAAAATATCAAGAGAAGTAAAATACCAATTCGATTTTCCAGCTTATTTCTTTGTATGCATAATAGGTTTTCCTGGATAAAGTTGGGAGCAAAGCATCTAAAAGCCTTTCCCCACACTTTCAGCCAATAGATTCCAGCAATCTGCTTATCCTATTGACATGTGGCATCTCCCACATCACTGTCAGCTCCCATCACCCAGAAATAAGAGAACAAGGGACCTCAGCCAGCTCCACCAGCTGGCCAGGAGAAAAGAAGGTGTAACTTTTCTCAGGCTGCAGAAGCTGTTGTTATTTTAATCAGATATCTTTCTTTTTGCCTCTTGTATCAAGCACCAAAGAAACTGAACTGCAACAGCACCACAACCTTTATATCAAAAGACTGCATACATAATGAGCATGACAAGACTCTGAAGGACTCCTGTGAGTAAAACTATCCTAAAAACCAGAGTAACACTAAAACTGATGAATGCAGTACATTGACTTCATATGATAGAACAAACAAGAACATGAATTAGAGAATTATGAACCCCGTTATGAATGAAGTTTAAAGGGGAATTAGCACTCTCACAGACCCTGGAGCAACTAAATCAAGGTTATGTCACAAGAGAGGTCTTCTATGTTAGCAAAGAAGCTATAGAGCTGCTGAGATGCAATCTGAAATTTCATTCAGAGTCAGCAAGAGAAGTAGGGGAAAAAAAAATTTAAAAGCTCTGAATATGAGGAAGAAAAAAAGATAATCAAAGAACAGAAAACCACTCTGGACTTGGAATCTCTTGAAAACCTGACTTAGAAATTACTTGGTGATAACTACTGCACCATATATAATTAGAGCAGAAAACTAATATAAAGGTATTTAAAGCCTGTATTTTCTTATTTTATGCTTTTCTTCTGCAATCTTTTCCAACTTCTCAATAAAACATCATTTTTCTTTGCTACAATTAAAAAATAAACTGCTTTTTAAAAATTTTTTCTTCCACAGAAATCTGACACACAAGAAGGGCTTGTTTTATTTCCTTAAAGATTAACCCAAAAAAGCAATGCTGTCGGCAAATTCTCTGAGTGCTTACAATCCAAGGAACAGATGGGAAGCCCAACATGTTGTTCTCTACCAAGCCACAAGTATCAAATGCTACAAGAAGGACATCATCTCCCATGGCCAATGCTTTTCTGAAAAGAGCAGATGGTAGGGAAGGACTATGACAATAGACAAAATGCATAAACCATAACACAGAGGGTTATGGTTTTTTTAAGCTACAAATGCACATTTGGAAACTTCAGAACAAACTATGATTAGATGAAGAACTATATAAATAACTGTTCTTTTTTGTACCCCCTCATGCATATTTAACAAGCTTGGAAATTCTTTTATAGCATTGATGCACATCTGCAACTTGTATATCTTGGATCAGCGCATAAGAGGAGAGGGAAGTTGTGAATCACTTCAGGAAAAGCGCCCATAGAAGGCATAGAAAAAGGCATGGAGATGTAAGGGAGAAAACAGTGAACAGGAAGAAGCAGCAAAAAAGAGTGGGAGAACACAAAGTTGGGGCTTCATTTGCTTAAAAAAAATATATATATGAGAGGAAAATCAAAACCAGAGAAAGATTAAAGCCTTTAAAGTATAGTATTTCTCAGCATCAAAATTAAAATCTAAGAAAGTATGAATTAAAAGAACTTTGGAGCATGTGTAACAGGGTCTGAAATTTATTTTCAGGTCAGATTTATTTCACCTGTAAACTCAAAAACCAGCAAACCAATAACAAACTGTAACTGTAATTATTCATAGGAATCATTCTATAGCCAACACACTCAGATGATTAAGCTGTTTAAAAACTCATTAAATATTCCTGAAACAATGTTCTGCATTATTTGTATTTTATATAATTATACATACAGTGCTGATTTCAGAAGTCTGAATTAACAGGATTTCCACCAGATAAACATTTACATATTTGTAACTCACCAGTTCCTGATTTAAGGCACTAGGTACAGATTTGCTTCTTATGCTCAGAGTATCCTCATTTCCTTCAGAGAAAGATTCACTCAAATCTATCTCAGATCGGCTACGATCTGGAAAATAAAAACAATTAAAATGTTTGCTATAATTCCTACAAAAAATATTCTGTTTCAACTTCCACACTTTAATAAGTTTTGTCTCAAACACAATTGTGTTTTAAGAAGAAAAAAAATAATAGGTATCTATCACAAACTCTATGACAACTGAAGATCAATATGATAAATGAAAAATATGCTTTCTGATGCTGTTCAGCCTTCTGAACAATACTTTTCCCTGTACTATTTATCTGCTGTAATTGTCTCCTGTGGACAACACTATAGATCAAGCTTTTTACTTTCTCTGGTAGGCCTATCAGCCTGGAATACTGAAAAACCTGCAGTCGAAGCATTCACAGTGATTATCACATCTCCCACCATCATCAAACTCCTTCCTCCAGTGTGATTCAGAATTAAGCAACTAGGGACATGAATTATCACATCTCCCACCATCATCAAACTCCCTCCTCCAGCGTCTGATTCAGAATTAAGCAACTAGGGACATGGGTGGACATAGAAAGTACTTCTGCCATTACTGGTGTTCCCTGTGCAGAAAGGAGGAGGAAGCAAACAAGTCTCAAGACCTGCACAACCTTCTTTCAGTCTTACAGGTGTCTCATCCACTCTATAGGCAACAGGACACATTAGATTTCTTGAAGAATGGTTTTCTTAGTCCTCCCCATATAAGCATTTTGTGCGACTGTTCAATATATTAAGTAAGGAAGAAGGGGAAGAGAATACTTCTAGATCCTGCAGGTAGGAATCTAGAAAGATATTAACTGTTCATCTTCTGCCTGGGTTGTAGCTGATGTGACAGGAAAGGTCACTCTCCTGAGTGCCCTTTGAGATCCTCCAACAAAGAGACAATAGTCTGACATCCATTCCCAGTTTGCCTGCAATTTTGCTCAGCATCCATCTGCTCTGGTAATATGAGGCCAGCTCTTTTCTCTCAGGAGAACCTTTTATTTTATAAGGTAGCAGAAACAAGAGAATTTTCACCTCATAAAGAAGTAGAAGTCTAACACCTCTGCCTGGAGTTGCACTGTACAACATTCTCAAAGAAACTCTGATGCTTTCAAGCTGAAAAAAATCTAAGGTGAAGAACATTATCTCCTTTGATTACCTCTGTGGGACGTGCCACTATGTTTCTACTTCGGGCTAAATTCAGCTGAAATAAAGTGAGCCCTGATGTGTTTTAGAGAGACACCTGTAGATCTGAACCCACTCTGTTAGCCCTGTGAGAAGCCAACCGAGGGCCTGGAAGAAGCAAAAGAGTGCAGGGAGCTCTTGCTTCCTTTTTCAGATAGGAAAAGGAGGATCTTCACCCACTGTGGCAAAGTGGCTCTGACAGCACCTTCCTGGGCAAGCCTCATTTACCTAACAGCCTCCAATCAAACGAGGCAAATTACAGCTCAATAGACTGCTGCGGTGCATGACGTATAAAAACAAAATTACTTGAAATCTGTAAGGGGCTTGCTCTCTGACAGCTCTGTTTCCCAAATCTGCTTCTGGGTAATGTGGGTGTGAAATGTAACGGCAGCAGCACAGCAGTATTTTACACAGATTGCAGATAGGTAGTATTTCACACAGTTGACCCCACAGAGAATGACTTAACAAAGTGGAATTATGAATGAAATCTTGTAACAATTGTAAGAGCATGTGAGTTACCTAACAGTAACACTGTGCCAACACTACTGGGGTTAAGCTTACCAGTTTTTCAAATGTGAAACTTGTGAAGTAGTATAAACTTGGTTAGTAAAAGGGAAGAATTTTCAGAATGAATATGAATAAATTTATGAAATTTACATCTGATCTTTCAGCACATGTTAAAAACAAAAGGAGCAGAGTCATAGGAATAATCTTCTGATGATAAAGGCTAGCAGAAAGAAGAAAAAGACTTAATACTTGCCTGATGACAACGATACCCTAGAAACTGCGATGGAAGGTGTTCCAGATGCTCTTCTACAGTGCTTCTTTACTAAATCTTCAGGTACACTTTCACTTGCTGGAATTATCATGCCATTTTCTAAGCCAGTATCCTGCCCAATAAGAAAAATGCACATCCCATAAACACCAAAAGTGAGTTTATTCACCATCAGCCTACAAATGTATCACTTCTGTTAGCTCCCAGAACTCCAAGGCTCCTTTACTATCCATTTTGTTATTGAATATATTTAGATTACAATCTTATCTGCTCTGCTTAGCACAGATAATGCATAAAATTTGCACAATGATGTGATTCATGCATACTTTCTGAGTTTGCAACTGAAGAATCAGAGCAATGCATCAGGAGTGAGAGGAGGGAAATGAAACACTCAAATCTATTAAAAGTTCACGTAACTTAGAAATGAAAAGGAAAAAAAAAAGGAAGAAAAGATAAAACCTATTGTTTTTATACCAGTATAATGATTTCAGTCAATGTAAAACCAAATAGACTTGAACTAATTAAACTATTCCAGTATAACCCCTTAAATAAAGCAAATATGCTTGACATCATTATGGCTTTTTACCTTCCTGTAAAGAAATAGCTAATGACATAACTCCATCTAAATTAAATGGATTGGCCTTTTCCAACCAAATCTAATCTAAATTTGAAATCAAGTCAGGCTGTGTGCCAACAAGAATATAAATAAAACAACTATTTATTTATCTACAGGTCCCAAAACTTGCCTTCATATACGCTAATTTATGTTTTATTTGGAAGGACTATATATTAGACCAAATATTTGGAAGTTAGAAAAAAATGGATGCGTTCAATAGGGCTCTGAGCTCAAATATTCACCTACTTTTTTTCCAAACATTAATAGTAAAAGGCACTACCTCTGACTACAAATTTCAGTTTCCTTGTACATTTAAATCATGGCAACTTAGGATAAATCGCTAGTACAATCCTGATTTCTTAAGAGAGGTGACTGAAACAAATTCAGGATGGGTGTCTCAGTGCAGGGTCAGGAGGAGCTGCTTGACAAGCACGCAGGCTGTCTGGGAACAAATAAAGTGTCTGCGTCTGGCTGGGTGAGCCACATCCTTCTCCTTGATACAAAGCTCAGATGTGGCCACCTACATCCCAAGAGGCCTAACAGCAGGGAAGAGGAATCCCACTATTCATTTTGATACAGTGTCTGGTACACATTTCGTGTTATGCCATAATATATGCAGAGTCCAGTGTCCAAATCCAGAAAAAGCTAAAATCAGTATGGCCTGATTTTCTGCAAGTCTTGAGCTTGCAACATTTCCATTAGAAGTTAGTGGGAGCATGCTGAACCCTGCCTGATGGAAAGTCACATCCTTAGGTCACAGCACTTAATTGAGGCCTGAAGTGACACAAACACTTACTCCCATCCTTTGTGCTTTCCACTTCAAAATCTGTAACTCATTATGTAATGATCACGGAATTGTCAGAGTTGGAAGGGACCTCTAGAGATCATCTGGTCCAACTCCCCTGCTAAAGCAGGATTGCCCAGAGCACATCACTCAGGACTGCACCCAGGCAGGTCTTGAAGATCTCCAGAGAAGGGGACTCCACAACCCCCCTGGGCAGCCTGTTCCAGGGCTCTGTCACCCTCACCGTAAAGAAGTTTTTCATGGAATCAAGCATTTATGATGGACATTAAGAGCAATTTTTAGACATAAGAAAAAAACACCACTGATAGTCCATGACAAATTCTGTTGGAGGTGAGATCTTCACTGGTCCCAGCAAGAATTAAGGAATCAACAAAATCTCTGTCAGGCTCGTCCTTTCTGGGCTACAAATTGTTTTAACAGGGCAGATACCAGCCAAGTCATCCTGTTTGGTGTCGGCTCTACCTGACTCTACTTACCCTGCTGTAGTCTGTGGTCATGCTGCGTGTGGTCAGTGCTGAGGACCTCGGGAGGGAAGGTATGGAAACATTGCCTCTGCTCACAGGACCCACAGCCCCTTTCAGGTGGCCTGCAGCAGCTTCTGCATCGCTGCTGTTCAGTGAAGGAGTGCTCCCTCTAGGATGGAGAGAAGAGTATTAAAGCGTTATTGCCTTTGAGCCAACCAGGTCAACCCATTTAGCAAACTACTGCAAGAAAACAGCCATCCTAACAATTTGCTGGAATAAAATCACCATGGATGAACCGTGTGACCCATTGCAAGGAAATGGTCGCCTGGAAAGAAAAACACAGGCAAGGGCGAGTTACTTTATACATAGACATGTTTTCAGCACTTCTACCAGAACTGTGAATAACCCAAACAGGCGGTTGTTGCTCAAGGTGCAGAAGCTGCATTTCTTTTCAATGTCCATATTCTTTTCAACTGCATTTGCATCCCAACAGATGTAACATTTCCTACCAGGCTGTTCCTTGGTTGAAAGGAAAACTGTGGTGACATGGGAGCTCTGGCCACTTTTGCAGCTGATGTTAATGCCAGCACTATCTCCAGGAAGTCTAAAATCCTTGGCTATCTGCTCTCTGTCCTCTCCAGAAAAATAAAAACTTGCTCCCTGTCCTATTTATATTACAATAATGACTTTTGACCCATACTGGCCAATTCTTTCAATCAGCTTGGAAAGCCAGGAAAGCTGGACAAGTACTTTTGCCAGGTTTTGTATGTTTTCAGCACTTCTACCAGAACTGTGAATAGCCCAAACAGGTGGCTGTTGTTCAAGGTGCAGAAGCTGCATTTCTTTTCAATGTCCATATTCTTTTCAACTGCATTTGCATCCCAACAGATGTAACATTTCCTACCAGGCTGTTTCTTTTCAACTGCATTTGCATCCCAACAGAGGGTGCAACAACTCATGTAACATTTCCTACCAGGCTGCTCCTTGGTTGAAAGGAAAACTGTGGTGACATGGGAGCTCTGGCCACTTTTGCAGCTGATGTTAATGCCAGCACTATCTCCAGGAAGTCTAAAATCCTTGGCTATCTGCTCTCTGTCCTCTCCAGAAAAATAAAAACTTGCTCCCTGTCCTATTTATATTACAATAATGACTTTTGACCCATACTGGCCAATTCTTTAAATCAGCTTGGAAAGCCAGGAAAGCTGGACAAGTATTTTTGCCATCAGTAAAAGTGTGTGTGATCAGCATACCAGAACCCAATTTCTGTCTAATACCACAACAGGCAGAAAGTTTTCCATGAGACATTTTCTATTAGAAAATACTGATTATTCCATGTGAACATTGAGCATTAGAAAGGGTAAGCTGTTGCACTTTTTTGACCTCTTGGAACAATGCAAATTTCTTTAAAATGTATTACAACACATTTTCAATTAAAGTTTTATTTTCATTTCAAATTTGATTTGCAGTAAAAGTAGAAGTTCTTGGCTTATCTACTCTTCTTTCTCCAGAAACATCAGTTCAACATTTTTTCATTTTTCTTGGCAATTCAGAGAAGCCTCAAAAAGTCTTGCAGTACAATAACAGTTCTGCATACATTCCTACTTACTAGTAAAGAGGAATTGATGCAGAAATTGCAGCCTTTTCCATATGGAAAGTACAGTGTCAGAGGACAACAGCAGTGCAAATTTGCTGGAGAAAATTTTCGGAATGTATAGTAAAATTGCAGCCAAAACAAGCTTGCTTAATAAATATTTCATATCTGTAGGCATCTTCATTGTGCTGGACAGCACCTGAAAATCACTTGATTTAGGCGGCCACTTTTGCAGCTGATGTTAATGCCAGCACTATCTCCAGGAAGTCTAAAATCCTTGGCTATCTGCTCTCTGTCCTCTCCAGAAAAATAAAAACTTGCTCCCTGTCCTATTTATATTACAATAATGACTTTTGACCCATACTGGCCAATTCTTTCAATCACAACAGGCAGAAAGTTTTCCATGAGACATTTTCTATTAGAAAATACTGATTATTCCATGTGAACATTGAGCATTAGAAAGGGTAAGCTGTTGCACTTTTTTGACCTCTTGGAACAATGAAAATTTCTTTAACATGTATTACAACACATTTTCAATTAAAGTTTTATTTTCATTTCAAATTTGATTTGCAGTAAAAGTAGAAGTTCTTGGCTTATCTACTCTTCTTTCTCCAGAAACATCAGTTCAACATTTTTTCATTTTTCTTGGCAATTCAGAGAAGCCTCAAAAAGTCTTGCAGTACAATAACAGTTCTGCATACATTCCTACTTACTAGTAAAGAGGAATTGATGCAGAAATTGCAGCCTTTTCCATATGGAAAGTACAGTGTCAGAGGACAACAGCAGTGCAAATTTGCTGGAGAAAATTTTCGGAATGTACAGTACAATTGTAGCCAAAACAAGCTTGCTTAATAAATATTTCATATCTGTAGGCATCTTCATTGTGCTGGACAGCACCTGAAAATCACTTGATTTAGGCTGTCATATCATGTTCAGAGTAACTGCAGTAAAAATCCTCTCTACCACAGCAGAAATTTTTGTTAGAACTACTGCTGAGCTGAGACAAAATACTCTGGAACACACCAGCTCCTGTCTCACCACTACATTAAGCTGCGAGCACAGGCTCTTAAGTCCACATCAGTAGAGTTATAGAAAATAAGGAATACAGAGGAAAACCCCAAACACCAAGACTGCCTAGAAATGTTGTGCAACCACATTTTTATCTTTTAGTGAGCATATAGTAATGTTTTCAACAATTACCATCCAATTTTGTATATTGACAACCATAGATAATGCATAATAAACACGCTCTTATGCATGTGCACGTCATATACATACACTGCTACTTTTTAATTTAATGAGTTAGTGATCAACAAATCCTACTAAATGTGCTTTGGTTGAATTTTAGTCCTATCTGTTTACATAAAGATGTGTCTTTAGTGCTGCAATGTTAGAAAAATCAAGGTTACTGACTGTCATCTGTATCTTATCAAAGCTGTTGGACTTAGATGCACACAACTTGATTTCCATACCTGCCAGTGCATGCCAAGTAGCTAAAATGTTGAAAACATGAGTTTTATTGCATGTTACACCACTTTTGATAGATTGTGATTACTTTCTATTACAAAAATTGTTGTTACAGCTTTTTATCCCCTCACTGTACACTAACATAAATAAAGAGAAGTGTTCAGAAGTAACAGTGGACAGAGATAAAGGTGTTACAAGGGGTTCTGCAGGAGTCATCAAACCTGCTAAATAGACCTCTCCTGTCCTTTGCCCTTATTTCAGTCTGCTATTAGAGAGAGGTTCAACACATTTTAAACACATATTAAGTAGACAACAAAAGAAAAATGTTGTTTTTACTTGACTATGCCAGGCATTTCCATGTGGCATACAAGACCCCAGTATGATGGGGTACTGTGCCTGTGTAGATAAGCCTGAAATTCCTATACTATTTCTCCTAGAAGTGTCCTGCAGCCTCCCAGTTCATTCCACTGCAAAATCAGTAAACATTTTTGTTGGAGTAGAAATAAAGCAGCTGAAGAAATGAACTCATGGCCTGGGACTCCTTGTTACCAACTCAGTAGATCTTCTCTTAAACCAAAATGTTTAGAAAGAATAAAAATTCTCTCTCAGTTTCCTGGCTGGTAGGTGAAATACTACCAATTCTGGCAATGCAGCTAAAAAGATGAGGGCAATTACAATAATTGGAAATACGCAGGAAAATCTAGGACTGCTACAGTGTCACAAGATGTTGTTATATTCTTTTAATTTGCAATTCAAAACAGTTACGGGAGTAGCCTGGGAAACTGCTGTTGGTTTTAATAATTACTACTCAGTTCTATAAATTAACAATAGATAAACTAAAGCAAGCATCCTCAAATACCTAATTAAAGCATTTAACTATGCATGTACAAGACAGGAATTTTCATCCCTCTACTAAGAAACATGATCTACTTCTCAATCTTTCCATAAACTAATATTTAGAAAGTGCCACATCTTCCACAGACAGTAAAATAATTCAATCCCCCTACCAAAAGCGTCTCCTGGCAACACAGCTGGGTTACTATGTACTTTGACAGGTACACTGATTTGACCAGGTGAGGATGAGATGATGGGTGCAGAAAGAAGATGCCATAAAGACTCAATACTCCTAATTAAATAAATCCTGCACCCTGGCTCTGGGTAAAAGCTAGAAATTGATGCTTTATGTGAAACCTAAGCAAGGTCTTCAAACATAAAGGCCTTTTTTTTTTTTTCCTAAGTACTTTATTCTATTTATCTTTCTGAGCCTGTACACAGAGTTTATCAGGTGCTGAATTCTACCACCCCAAACAAAATTACTTTGCTTCATTTTTGGTTAACCGCATGATAACTTTCTTGCAGTCTGGTATATCAAAACTGCTGCATAGATACCTCTGGGACAGCAATCATAGAAAGAGAAGGGAAAACAGAGCCTTTGAAGAAGAAAATATAAGTTTTTAGCAATTAACATGTCATTACTGAAGAAAAACTTTAGAACTAAGGGCCTCAGTTCTGTAACAGGAACACAGCTCATCAACTAAAACCCAGGAAACAAAACACAACCAGACGAACACAAGAAGAGAAAAGGAAGATGGATGGAGATCATTTTTAGGGTTTTTTCTTTTTTAAAAAAAAAACCACTGAGAAGCAGAGTTTATATTAATGCCAACTATTCAAAGACACAATGCAACACAGAGGACTGGCACACGTCTCTAGGTCAATCCTAGCATAAACTGTACCAGATTTCTGCTGCTCACCTCTCAGAGCAAGGTGTTGACTTGCCACTGCGCAGACTTTGGGTTTCAGCTTCTGAGCCTGCGGTCCTTTCACCTTCGTCTTTTGCATATGTAATTTCTCCTTTGGTAACCGCCCTAATTACCTTCCTGATGAAACAGGGAATAACAGATTTTAAAAGGTGTAAGGTTTTTCACAGGAAACAGCAACCCAACTGAAATACTGTGATGTATGCATTCTATTTATTTCATCTCTCTGACCTATGGACAACTCTGGATATGAGTTAGTAGAGCACCAAATCTAATTATTGAACTGATTCCTATGAATAAAAAAAAGCATCATATTTTCTATAAACTGCTTTTTAAGACACAAAACACTAAAACATCCCTCCTACTCAACATGGCCACTTCAAGCTTTGATCCAGGGGTGTCTTTTGTGAAAAATCCTCTCTCTCTTTTTTTTTTTTTTTTACAGGTTATACATAGCAAAGTCTTTTTGATTAAGTATGTGTACTTTCCCCTAGTAAATTATACATTTTCTCTTAACTTCAAGCTTTGAACCAGGGGTGTCTTTTGTGAAAAATCCTCTCTCTTTTTTTTTTTACAGGTTATACATAGCAAAGTCTTTTTGATTAAGTATGTGTACTTTTCCCTGGTAAATTATATATTTTCTCTTCAAGATTTCTTTGCAATTTCTACAATCATATGCATCGATGCCCCCAACATGTTTTTTACCAAAAACATAACATCATCCCCTTATCCTGCAACACGTGGCCTAATAAGACAGAAATGAAAGAAATGAAATGAAGTTTTGAAAAGTAATAGTATTCTTCATAGACTTACAAACAACAATAGACTGTTGCATTATCGCATGACACTAAGTGCCAGTAGGAGTTGGCCCCAAAATGGCTTTGCTAAGGCAAATGCACCTATGAGATACATGAATGTGAAACGTGAGGGAGGAAGAAGGAGCAAGGAAGGAAGAGGTGGAATAATGAACTACATCTAAGAGAGGCCACAAAATATACTAGGAAAAGCAAGTGTAACTCTTGTAGGATTATATTTCCTTTACAGGGAATATCACCACCAGAAAACATTTCAGGCCACAAACTGAAAAAGGGCTGAACACCACTAAAATAAACAACAGACAGTTATAGAAAATAATTGCTTCTCATAGGGGAATATGAGTAATAGATTTGCACAAAGGATTTAAATGAAAAGAGGATTAGAAAAGTAAACTTTAATGCACTCTTAATATAGCTACCAATTAGCATGATTCAGAGCAACATCTAGGTCCTATTCTGGTAGATTCCCTAAACTGGTTCTTTCTTCATCTTAATTTGAGAAGCCAGAGGCGTTCTGATGCTCTCTTCCCCCAATATTAAAGAGAGATAAATAACTCATGTTAATTTCTAGATTCTCTAAAACAAGCAATCCCATACTCAGCTCCCTTGAGAGGAAAAAAAGCTGTAGAAAGCGACCTACCTACCCACCCTGTATTTCGGATCTGCAATAAAATGTGTTCTTTCTTCCAACAGAAACAAAGTTTTCCAACTACCAGCCCATGGAGTTCCAGCCATGATATGAACATTCATCAGATTTTCCTTCCCATTCACCCAATAGCCTCAAATTACCTCCAGACACCGCTCGTGCAACCACATATTCAATGCATCTGTTGGTGTCTCCTGAGAGTAAACGAGCACTCCTCTAGCAACACAGCCAAACTGGGGTTTCACACGTCACTGAGACTGCAAGATGAGCAGCACCATATCTGGTCATACCACCACTGTCACACACACAAAAAAAAGGGGCACTTCTTGGCTGTTAGACTGCATTTGCACAGGTGGAAGCTAAAGAAAAATTTGTCTTCTGAGCAGAACTGACCAGTATACGTAAAAAACAGGCCCTCCAAATACTGTTTTTTGCATCTGCTTGTTCAGCAAACCTGCCTTTAGGGACATACTGTTGCTCCCTAGCATAAACAAGAAAAATCCAGGAGTAAAATTGCCTTTTTTTCTGCTACTTTTATAGCTGAAGAGTAATTACTGCTGCATTTCCTAGGAAACAGCAGTCTAATTATAGGAAGTACACTTTTAAATGAAGGCTGTTTCTAACTCTGTGAAGTTTGAGGCTGATGTGGAACACTGGACAATCTCCAAAGAAAATCCACCCAATCTTATACAGCTGTTATTTGGCTTATCAGTTTCCTAAAGAAAAGGCCTTACCCTATCTTTCTAGGTCCACCGAAGATTGATTTATGCCCAGTTGTGGAGGAGACTGGTACATCTGGCCTTTTTTCTTCATTCTCTTGAGGTTGATCTTTAAATGTTCTTCTTTCTTCCTTACTGGAAACTGTATCTTCAGTGCAGGGGCAAAGGAAAAAAAAAAAAAAAAAGTGAATGTTTGCACAAAAGGTAGCACATGTCAAACAACAAAAAAAGATTTTCCATTTTTCAATATTAAATAAAACCATATGATAAAATATCAGACATAAAAACCACCTTGGGGGGTTCTTCGGATTTTCTTTTTAATAAAAGAAAAAAGTGAATGTTTGCACAAAAGGTAGCACATGTCAAACAACAAAAAAAGATTTTCCATTTTTCAATATTAAATAAAACCATATGATAAAATATCAGACATAAAAACCACCTTGGGGGGTTCTTCGGATTTTCTTTTTAATAAAAGAAAATAAAATTTTAAAATAGCTTGAAATGCTTCTCCTTATCAACTTGTCTTGAACTATACTTCTGAATTTATCATTGGCAACATTTAATAACCAAGGGACCTGAAATGGAGTTTTGCTGCGTAGAGTATTTTCTGTGATAAATGAAAAAATGTTTTCCTAATTAAAATGTTTGTTCAACTAGGAGCAAGGTGTAGGAAAAATGGCTTAAATATATATTTTTAATATACCTATCAAATAAGAAATTAGAAAATCACAAAAAAACCCCGGTTTGACAGGCTGCATAATATCAAAACCCAAAGAACGTTAGATACTTGCCAGTTTGACAGCTTCTGAAGCACAGTCGTATTGGCAAGATCAGCATTTTGCCAAGCAATGTATTTGCACCAGGCATTTTTTCAATGGCAGTAAACCAGTCCCTCCTCCCTACAAACTGCCCATACCCACCACTTTCCTACTGAAAGTGATAAATGCTACATCTGAAAACACACTACCTAAGTAACAGCTTCTATGCGCAGAGTGAAGTAGATAAATGAAGACAGAAGCATTAGCATTTAGGAAAAACTGTTTCTTAAATCAGTGTTTCTTCCATGTGTGGTACCTCCCATGGTACCACAGCAGCTCAGAGACATGGCACATTTGTGATGCTTGGTCAAGATGGCCAGACTGTTTACTGCACCTACAAGTGCAGGTGCAATTTGTTGGAGATATCTGGGCAATAGCAAAGTCAAGTGAGAACTGAGAAGTACCAAGTAGTCTAGATATAGCCCTGCTCCAGCATACAGGGCAGGAGTTAGCATTTATCTTTCTTATTCAGAGTTGAAAAATAAAAATGGAATACTTTTTACACACCACCATCACAAATGAGAGAGCCATAGTAAAACAATGGCTGGGTCAGATCTCTGCATACAGCCAAGTTTCCTGGCAGGAACTGAGAATGAACTTTTAGAGCCTCTGCTGCTGGCATTGCAGGTAAATGATACTGTCCACCTGTTTGGATAGTTAGGTTTTAAGCAGTTCTCTATCTCTATAGATTCATTTATACCTAACCTTTCCTATATATTAATCATTCAGAAAGCATTGCACAGTAATATCCAAATATAAAATTAAGATTAAAATACTGATTATATTAACACCTTCAACAGTGAAGTATACCTTCAAATTCGATAACTTGCCAGTTTGACAGCTTCTGAAGCACAGCCATATTAGCAAGATCAGCATTTTGCCAAGCAGTAGATTTGCACCAGGCAAGTCAAACACTCTGGAAACAAGGTTTCAATGTGTTAAGCACAAGCAAATCTCTCTCTTGTGATCCCTACCTGGGAATTTGTGTAGGATAGACTGTCTGACGACATCAGTTCCAAGATTTGATTGTTTGAAGCGCTTTGCTCTCTCTTCAAAAAACCATTCTCCTGTCACTATCCGTAGCTGTCTATATGGGGAAACAAACAAACAAAATAAACCAGAGACACATGCACATTAACAAACTTGGCCAACCAAAGCTATTGCTTAAACCCTTAGGTCATCTATCAACCATCATCACGTGCACAAACTCTGGACAACATTTGCACAGTTCAAAATCAAGAGTAAAAACATTGACTGCAAAGCTTGGGATAGTAAGACATGTAGCAGAAAAACAGTAACACCTTGCTTTGTATATGAAAAGTAATTTTCAGTACATGGAAATTTACTTAGCAAAAAAGCATTTCAACCACATTTACCAAATTTCTGTAGAGCACATTAACAAACTTGGCCAACCAAAGCTACTGCTTAAACCCTTATGTCATCTATCAACCATCACGTGCACAAATTCTGGACAACATTTGCACAGTTCAAAATTAAGAGTAAAAACATTGACTGCAAAGCTTGGGATAGTAGGACATGTAGCAGAAAAATAATAACACCTTGCTTTGTATATGAAAAGTAATTTTCAGTACATGGAAATTTACTTAGCAAAAAAGCATTTCAACCACATTTACCAAATTTCTGTAGAAAACATGTAACACATCATAGAATCATAGACTGGTTTGGGTTGGAAGGGACCTTAGAGGTCATTTAGTTCCAACCCCCCTGCCATGGGCAGAGACACCTCCCACTAGACCAGGTTGCTCAAAGCCCCATCCAGCCTGGCCTTGAATACTTCCAGGGATGGGGCATCCATGACGTTCCTGGGCAACCTGTTCCAGTGCCTCACCACCCTCACTGTAAAGAATTTCCTTCTAGTATCTAATCTAAATCTCCCCTCTTCCAATTTAGAACCATTACCCCTTGTCCTGTCACTACACTTCCTGACAAAGAGTCCCTCTCCGGCTCTCCTGTAGGCTCCCTTCAGATATTGAAAGGCCACTGTAAGGTCTCCCCGGAGCCTTCTCTTCTCCAGGCTGAACAACCCCAGCTCTCTCAACCTGTCCTCATAGGAGAGGTGCTCCATCTCTCTGATCATCTTCGTGGCCCTCCACTGGACCTGTTCCAGCAGATCCATGTCCTTCCTGTGTTGAGGACTCCAGAGCTGGACACAATACTCCAGGTGGGGTCTCACGAGCACAGAGTAGAGGGGTAGAATCACCTCCCATGACCTGCTGGCCATGTTTCTCTTGATGCAGCCCAGGATGCGGTTGGCTTTCTGGGCTGACAGTGCACATTGCCGGCTCATGTTGAGCTTCTCATACACCAACACCCCCAACTCCTTGTCCTCAGGGCTGCTCTCCAGCCATTCTCTGCCCAACCTGTATTTGTGCCTGGGGTTGCCATGTCCCAGGTGCAGGACCCCACACTTGGCTTGGTTAAACTTCTTTAGATTTGTATCTCATTAATATAGTTATATCACATGATATCATCTCCCTAGTCCTTTGGATGGTAAACTACACAACCTCACAGTTTTCAGTATCTCCAAACTGACAAAAGATGTAGAAAAAACAGCAAAGGGAGAGAAATGCTTACCAGAGCCCCTGCCAGCCAAATCAGCAGCTCACGGACCCAGCCTGGTTATATGCAGTTGCTGCAAGCCTATATATATTTTTTTGTCTCTAAATTTCATATGTTGGCACCACATGCAGCTTCTTCACGTGATAGTGCTGTTGTGAATACGTTATGTGTTGGAGGTTCTGAGCAATGAACTTTTGTCTTTGTTACTGTTCTGGATAATGCTGCTATGTCTGGTTTCAAATTCTCGTACTATACTAGCAACTAAGAAATCTTGTACCGGCATTGCCATTTTCCATAGGCATATTTTAGTGTTGATTCCTAACCTTTGGCTGAATTAGATTCATTATGGTAAAGCATCACCATTTCTGCTGCCTCACTACATACAGTTGAATAGCAAAAAGTCTACCACTCAAATAAAAAGCAAATAAACAAACAAAAACAACATTAAAAACTGATTTAGCTCCACACATCTTCTTGCTTACTTTATGCTCAATAAGACAATTTATTTTCAAATCAATACCAGAAAAGAAATCATCTAGTCTCCCGGGCACGAAAATTACTACAGTTAGATTTAGAGCACTGATCAATATCTTTGCGGCTAAATTACTTTTGAGTCATGCCTGAACGGAGAGTCTGACTTGGGAAAATACTAAGAATTACAGAACAGGATCCTGTCATGGTCAAAAAGACCCTAGTATCATCAGTTCTTCCTAACCTATTAATGAATCATGCACCATTGCATGAGTCATTAAAAAAAATAAAATATCAACATTCAAAACATGTGCCCACAAGATGAGTCATTAAAAAAAAAATAAAATCAAAATTCAAAACATGTGCCCACAAGCATAGAAATAGAAGATTATTGTCTTGTCTTGTTGTTGCAGACTCCTAGTGACAAAGCCCCATATAATTCATCATGACAATCAGTCAGTCATTACACAAGGCATTAAATAAATTCTCTACCTTTCTACTCAGAATTTTTAAATTACTTCTGTTAGATATAAACACTGGAAAGGACTCATTGCATTAGAAACTATGCATTGTCTGGCTAGTGTGAAAAACAGTTTTTCTCTGAATGTGTGTTTTCACAACTCTCTTACAGCATACACTGTGTGGTTTACAGCGTACTGTGCAGTTATTTGTATACCAAGGTTTACAACAAGTTTAATGCCTTATATCAAACCATAAACCTTTCAGAACTTTGACTGCACCATCATATTCTATTGCAAAATAAATAACGTATTACATTGCAGTATGAATTACACAGTTCATTCATATTTATTTTTTTTCCTCAGCTACTCCCAAGTTTTACTATAAAACTCCACGAGTGCCATTTTCCCCTTGGATACACATTTTATTCATCCCCAATATCTTACCTGCAATGCTTAACTTGATCAAGATCAGACTGGGCACCCCCCACCCCCTTATCCAGACAAGCACCTTCTCCCTTCTTCAAGCCTGGAACAACCCAAGGGAGAAGATGTGACATACGCCCAGGATTTCAGCAGCATGGCTGCTGCACCATACAAAGCTACAGGCTTTTACAAGCAACAATTTGTAGTTATTTCCACACCCAACCCTGAACTATGCCACCCACCTCAGCCACTGTGGTTCATGGAGGGGGAACCCCTCTGCCACAGGGTCCCTGGAAAGCCATCTCCTACTTTTTCTGGCCAGATGTGAACAGTGATGATGGAAAGAGAAGCTCTCTGGTGCCTCCTGCATTACAAGTGCCCAGGGGACCTCAGCAAAGCAGAACAGTGGCTGAGACCAGGGTGTCTGCTTGTTTTACCATATATTAGTCGTCTAATCTGATGTGGACATTCAACCTTGCAGCAGCAGAGGTTCGAAGGAGCTACAGCCAAGGGAAGAATAGCTGTGGGAAGAGGACAGGAAGGAAAAGTACGGATGGCTTCTGGGCTCTGCAAGGAAGGATCAGCAGGGGTGCTGTTGATGGACAGACGAGGTCCTCCACCAGCATCCATCCCTGGAACAGGGGCCTTCCTCTCCCCCTCCACTCCACCGAAGTTTGGGTCACCTGCAGCCTTAGAGCTCACCATCAGTCTCCCTCTCTCTGTCCCCACTCATCCTCTGCCACCCCAACAACCTCTCCTACTCCTCGCTCTGGGAGCGAAGCAACCTGCAAGCAGGGAAGGGCTGGCACCAGGTTGGAGAGCGAGGCAAGAGTACTGTGGAGAAGGACTTTCTCTTCCTATTCCCTTGTCATAGTAAGTGCTGACCCCATGCTCGTCATAGTCACATAAGGCTGTTCAGGAAAGAAATAGGTTAATCTATTTGGGCAACAACAGTTGATCCCTCTGTCTCCTGGCAAAGGATAAATAAGCAATCTACTTCTCTTAGTAATCTCTCTCCTCATATTGTAACTTACCACCATTAAGTAGTCCCTAATTATGCTGCTGGTCTCCTCTTACTTAGCCAAAGAAGTTTGGGGTCATTGCTGCATGCTCTGGCAAGCACAGATGGGACACCTAAGGGACAAGGAGGGTGTGAATGATCCCTTTTGCAGGCAAGGGAGTGTGACAGCTGCTACACCGATGCAGTTGAACGGTGTGCTGGTTCAGCTAATGATGGTAAACTCAATTGCCCATCTTCTTTATCTAGCTAATCTTACTAAGCAGTAATAAGATCCACATTTTAAATTGAGGTGCCAGCTCCTTGGCAGGGCAACTTCGAGGAGACCCACACCCGTTCTGCTCTGGATTCACCAAGAGAAGCAGGTCTGCGGTGAAAATACAGACAGCTCCCTCAACTGGGGCACGACTCACCACAACTAACAGGCGTATGACCTTGGTGCTTCACCTCTATGACTAACCCTGTTACTCACAGCCAAGGGGAAAAATACAACAGCTGTGAATAGCCAGCCATTTTAAGTGTAGTACGGAACCAGTCTAGACGCCTCAACCTTCACTGCAGACCTTTGTCCTTATTATCATCAATGTTACCGTCAATCCTGGGATCCCGACTTCAGCTGGCAGTCCTCTTTTGCAAACATGTCCTTACCCGACAGATGACCTCTACAAAAATATCACATTCTAAAGAAATAAGGTGAAGACCTCCTAGGTTTTGCAGCTTTGAATTTCTAGTGCATTAATATTGGATGTATTTTTCACATATACTGAACAAGAAAGACTAGTGTTCATGTTCTCTTAATCATTTCATTCATACGTGTCAAGAGTAGCTATTAAAACAATTTTTGTTCTACACATAAATAGAAATGAACTCAAATGAAATGATTGTCTAAGTCTCTGACTCGAAGTTTGAATTTCGTAATTGCATTTGACATTCTGAATCAAAAATTGAAGAGTGAGACTTAACCAGTCTTAGAATAATGTTATTTTCATGCATTTATAATTATGACAAATGGAGACTGTCTTTCCTACTAAGATAGTGCATCTTCCTTCTATTTCTGATACAGGACTTAAATGAACCCATCACCGCTAAATAATTGTTTCAGTGGGAAAAGAAACAAGGGCATTTACTCAAGAG